ATATTCCTACCAAGCAACCATGGAGTTCTCATGAAGTCATAGCCAAAATACCCAGGAGGTAGAACAAAGTGAAAGATACTAATCTAGACGTTCTTACTCCAGTGATGGGAAATTGGTAGCATTTTCCCCATCAGGGGACCAACCAACATGAACAGCCATTCTGGAAGTGCTTTCAAAAAATTCTGGCTATTTAATTAGCCAGTCAGTGAACACATTTCTTCACCATAGTGATTCAAACAAATGACTCCCCTTGAAAATATGTCTCCCTCGTACTCTGGTCTTAGTCATCAAACTGTGGTCATCAGAGATTCAGTTGCACTAGGCATGAAAAGCAGTAATACAGTTATTATTAAAAACTTTTAAATTGACAGTGCAGGATAATGACATAGCTTTTTCAAGAGCTAACAAAACCTGAGGGTTTTGACTTGTTCTTTTTTATGCCAGTTGCCCTGAAAGAACAGAGACCATTTCCTTTTAATCAATATGTTCTTTCCACATTATCCTGCTGAAAAATCCTCTTTATTCTTTATAGCGTGACTCAATTGTCACTCTGGCAAAAGCCATCTCTAAAGTCTGCAGGCAAAATGAACCAGATCCTCCCTGTCACTGTCTACACTTTTATTAGGACATTTGTCATCCTGCTATAATTATTTCCAGGTACTGAAAAAAAATGACAGGTCCAGTGAATGAGTGAATGAATAAATGGGTTCTGTAAGTGAATGAATGAATACATTTCAAAAGGAGAAGTTATTGCTTTTAAGCTCATTCAACTCCCAGACTGGCTTTCTGTTATCTGGGATTTCTAAAGCTTTAGGTTTATTTATTTTTAAGTCAAATAATTGAGGCCAGCAGGTGGTTTCAGTTTAACTAACTTAGAATTGACTCTTCTGAGGCTGTGTATTCATTTTTTCTTTCTCCTTGGTATCAATATCCAGTTTGGGGTCAGCGACCCTTTCATGTAGAGAGCAAAGGTCACTCAAATTTTTATTAAATGCCATAAATTTGCCCTTTAATGTTCCTTTTGCTGCTTACTAGGTCCTTGTCCTTGGTGGGGTGGCTCTCACAGACTTTTCTCATCCAGCTTGAAAAGTTAAACAACTGTTAATCTGATTTTCTGGAAATCAAGAAATTCTGCTTAACTTGTACTTCCTCTTGAGTTAAATTTAGAACATATGAGGAGAGGAAGGGGTGGTTAGCCTCTCAAAGCTCAAATTAGCCTTAAAAATCAAATTGATGGAAACTGTAACTCATGGAAAAACCAAAGCAAATATTTTTCTCATACTTCATAAGCAAGACACAATGAAGGACAGAAGTACAATGAACCACTTGTTCATTATATTAAAAAATACAATGTCTTGTTTAAAAAGATTTAAAAGTTAAGACTGCATTTGCATAAAATCATTAGACTATACCTCCATTGAAGCACTGTGATATTTTTAAAAATACATACCCTCCTCCACATAAAGTAGATATTCTTCTTTTATTCAAGGTAATTTAAATACCACCTTATGGATTGTTTCATTCTAAAAGCTATAGGATACAGAAATGTGTGTGCTGAACAATAGCAAAAAATGATCTGAAATAGTTATTGATTTTGCTTTAAATGGCTAGATTAAGTGCTCGAAATTTTCTGGAATATCCTTCTATTCAATCATAAACATTTACTTTATTTTACAGTGTGCCAGACACAGAGGCAGGCTACAGACAGGGTGCTAAGGATTCAGCAGAGAGAACAACACATGAAAGGAATGATCTCTGGTGTGGCCCTCATTTGAGTCTTTGGCTTGGAATTTACAATATACTGGTAAGAACCAGAAAACAGAAAACAATAAAAAATAAGTTCATGTATGATATTAGATGGCAATCAATTAATAAGTACAAAGGAGAAAAGCAAGATGGGGCAGTGAAAAAGAAAGTCCAGATGCCTTACCTTGTTCTAAAATGTGCTGTTAAAATCAGTTGTGGCTTGAAGAGAAGGTTTAGTGATTAAGAGCACTTGTTGTTCTTGCAGAAAAACCCAGGTTTGGTTCTCAGTACCTCTATCTGGTACCTCATAATTGCCTATAACTTCATTTCCAGGGGAACAAACACTTTGTAGGCTACTACACTCATGTGCTTAACACACACACACACACACACACACTAAATAAATGAATCTTTTTATATAGTCATTTCTATATTAAGAACATACACAGATAAAGGTGGATTAAAAACTAATGCAAATGCCGGGCGTTGTTGGCGCACACCTTTAATCCCAGCACTCGGGAAGCAGAGGCAGGTGGATCTCTGTGAGTTCAAGGCCAGCCTAGTCTCCAGAGCGAGTGCCAGGATAGGCTCCAAAGCTACACAGAGAAACCCTGTCTCTAAAAACCAAGAAAAAAAAACTAATGTAAATATGCTAATTGTGGCTATTTGTTTTAGGACATTATGTCTGAGCCTTGAATTTTAATGATTAAGGAAAGGTGCCCACAACCACTGGTGATTAGGGATGGACTACAGCTTCCATAACTTCTCTCTAATACATCTTCAGCAGCCTACCACTAGATTTGATTAGACTCTGAAAGCACACAGCCAGCCAGAGACAGTCATCCTTTCAAAAGGTGACCTTTATCCTCCATCGCATGATGTCAACTCAAAGTTATAACAGAAGAGCTTAGTCACTAGAAGAACATTTAAATCAGGATAATTATATCTACAGAGCAAAGCAAAACAATGAGTCAACTAAGATAGGATTAAAAATATTCTACTCATCAAGGAATGCATTTTAATCTGATTTCTTGCTATCAAAAATATTAACTAAATAGAATTCTCAAAGAAAACATTATTGTACTTTTCTACGTTAACCCATAGAAAAATTTTAAATGATAATGCTTGACAGAAATTTACAAAGGAAAAAAATGGAGAATGGGATGAAATCATATGCTTAATATTATATAAACAGTAAGTAGTAAGGAAAACTCATATTCCATCCCCAATTCTACACATCTGTTGAGTTTTCTGTAATGCTCATCTGCTGAGTGACTTTTGAATAGGGAGTCCTGGACAGTGCTTCAGGGATGACAGCTAACAAAGCAGGCAATGTTTCTCCCCAACTGAGATCCCCTTACTACTGAGAGGAAACATGACATAATAGAAAAAAAGGAGATGTCATATAAAGACACAAAACAAAGTGCTATAGACAGAGATAATATCAGACAACCTTAGATGATACCAGAAGGCATCTTTGGAAAAATGGCAGTGGATGAGAGCTGTGAATAATATTAAAGATGTAGGAGTTAAGTACCCTGAGAAAGGGACTATTAAAAATAGAATGACTTGGACCAGTTCGATGGCTCAACAGGTAAAGGTGCTTAACACCAAACATGATAGCCTGACTTCAGTTCATGGAAAGAAAGAATCAGCTCCTGAAAGTCATGCCCTAGCTATGCAGTACAGAATCATACTCTGACCCAAACTGCCTCCATCTTTAGGAGTTCTGTTCAGCTGCTCTCGAAATAGCATCACAGTGGGACCTGTTGGCTGTTTACCTTCCCTCACAGAAGAGGAGGGTGAGGAGGGTCATAGGACACTCACCTGAGTATCCAGCCACCTCTTAGGACAAGTAGACTGCAATTCTTTCCTAACTGGATGTGGGAGGGGTTGGAGATGTAGTGGGAGGAATGATGGGAGGCCATTCCATCTGTGCAGCCATGAGGAAGTGAGTCATCACCCATGATTGGTGTAGACCTTCCTATCGGCCATGCTAGGGTCACTCATACTTCTATCTATAACCCCTCACTCACTGTTCTCACAGTAAACCCAATGAGCTCATTGATTTTTCCAGGGAAATTAGGTGGAACAACACGTCAGTTTGTTGTTAGGACCTTTAGAAGAATGGGTAGATGGTATCGATGTCTTCCCAATTAAGGAATTTTTAGCAACAAACCTCTGTGATTATGTGGTTTAATTATCCAGACTAAGAGAACGATCAGTTTTATTGTGAGAATTATAAAATAAAATAGCAGTCTTTTTATTAAGTGATGATCTGATGCAAAATAATACTAAAGAGAATACAAAAGGAAGGAAGGAAGAAAAGATGAAATGCCAGAACCAGAAACTCACCTGTCATCTAGGAATCCTTATAACTGATATAATGTTCTGGCCCACATTTCTTTTCAGAGAAATAATATACATTTAATTATTACCTCAGGTATCCTGAGAAGGAAACACAAAGTAAAGGAGGAATGGGAAGGGGGCTTAGGGACTAAAAGATCTGAAGTCTTTAGTGTCCAGACATGATTTATATTACAAACTAAAGTAACAAGCTGTATTGAAAGCAGAATGAGCTCAGAACAATGCAACTTCCCCCCCAAATAAATCACAATTACCAAAACATCAATGACAAACAGCTAGCTTCTTGGAGTATTTAATAGCTCTCACCTTTTGTTGGTGTGTTGACTATTTGGTTCTGTCCCTTAGAAATTAGTGTTCAACCCTGATGTATTATTATTGAATTGTAAAACTTTGGAAACACAGGCTAGAAAATTTTAAAAAGAATTTACTGTTATAAACAGGACTAGAATGATAGAGAAATTCTCTTCCACAAATCTAAGTTGAATTGGATAATGAGAAGAAAAGCTTTTGGATAGCTTTAGATTAAAGCAGGGAAGTTTAAAAACCAAGAGAGTCTTTGTAAAAAAAAGAAAGGGAGCTATAGTGGTTTTCATTTTCAATAACAAAGGAGAGGCCAATTAGGTCATCTAGGTGTCAAATGTAACTCAAAAGAACAGATAAAAACACCAGTATTACCAACACCTCCAATCAAAATGTTCTTGCATAGACTTTAATGTTTTTTTTTACCAAAATTAGTATTTTATCTTTACAGAATTATTTCAGTGATATTTTTCTCCTAATTAAAAGAAAACATGATTTCCTAGATTATTTGCACTAAGCCATGTAACTTAATTATATAAAATGGAAAAATCATAATTAAATAGTCACTGTAAGTTTTAACTTATCAAATCATAATTCAATCAAGAGCATTTTTTATTTTAGTATGTCTCTAACAATTTTTAACTGAAGTGTTTCTCCTTTTTGAAATTTTATTTATGTGTATAAGTGTATTCCCACCACATCCGTGCAGTGGGCTTACAGGCCAGAAGAGAGTGATGGATCCCCTGGGACTGGAGTTATAGATGGTTGTGAGCTGCCATCTGGGTACTGAGAATAAAATCTAAATCCTATGGAAGAGCTGCCAGTGCTCTTCACTGCTGCTTCATAGCCATCTTCCCAGCCTTGGATCTGTTTCTTTTTATGCAGCTAAAAGGCATTGCTTACCATCAGCATTGGCTTGACAAAATAACCACTGCTTATAAATCCACATTGCAACAAGATTTCTGGTTCTTCCAATAGAGGGGCCTCAGTTTCCACAGTTTATACTGATAGTGCCTTCAGTCATAATGAATGAGATCCAATTCATAGGAACAGCCAACCAACTTTTTCAAATCATTCTCTTTGCTTCAATAGGAAGTACAGGCAGAAGGGATTTGAGGGAAAAAAGTGTGTGTGTGTGTGTGTGTGTGTGTGTGTGTGTGTGTGGTATACATGTGCATGTCTAGAGTGGAAAACCAGCACTCCCACATATATGTGTGTGGAGGTCAAAAGTTGACATTATTCACTCTCCACCTTATTTTTGAAGGCAGAGTCTCTCACTGAACCTGGAGCTGGCTCAATGTTTTGAGTAGACTAATTGGTCAGCAAGTTCCCAGATCCTCCCCTCTGCCTCCCTAGCATTAGCATGTTTTTGTGTGCATGCTAAGAATCCAGAATCAGGTTCTCATCCTTGTGAAGTGGCACTGAGCCATCTCTAAGGAGTAATGAGCCAATAAATAGTATTGCAAGCTGCTGTTACTTTATGTAAATAAAGACAATGAAAGTTTCCAGTGAAACCAATCTGGAGCGGATCTGGAAGCACAAACATTTCTTGTCACTTCAGTCTCTGTCTGTCTCTCTCTTTTGGTTTGGTTTGGTTTGTTATATTACTGCACTGATTTGTAGCGAGACAAGTTAGCAGAGTCCAGTTGCGTTATCACAGTAGTTGACCACACAGAATGTACTACACAGATTATGTACAAGAATTTGGTTTGTGCTTCAGGTTTGCCCTCAGATTTTTCTGACACTCTTACCTATCCCAAGAAAGAGTCACCGATCCATCCAGTTCCCAAACTGGACATAGTTTTATTGATTCCAGTTATCAACAGAAATATGCCTCTATTCTAGACTCACCTCACACCTGTGATTTATAAACTTCTAAAATAAATGAAAATGAACTCATTTCTAACATAAATGAAACAGCTCATTAAAACTCACTGTTTCTTTCTGTGAAAAAAGAACCACTCATCTCATTCCCTACTCTAAGACATGTAATCATGTTGTTCACAAGTGAAACCCATAAGTTGTACATCCTTTTTAGGACAAAAGTTTATAATTTTCCATCAGTAATTTTTATCACTGCAATGATACAAGTAAAAGTCTTCCTAGGGGCCCTATTTTCTGTTTTCTCTGATTTCTTATAATTGCCAGCCATACCAACATGCAAGCCATCACTGCCATCATTTCTAATGACTCCTTGTTGAAATCCAAACCTAACTTCCACCATCTCCGCATCTTCACTCTACCACCTTTACTCTTGCCTAGTGTCTGTGACAGCTTGGGATGACTTGTCTTTAGCTGTCGAGCCTTTAATCTGTGCCTGAATCCAAGTTGAGTTGGTTGACACGACTCATTCGTAACAGAATTTATCAGCTTTTCTCTTTCAGGCTTTTTCTTATCTTCTTAAACCATGAACTTGCAAGATGTACATTTCAGCGCTGAATCTCTGCTTGTTGGTTCTAGGGAAGATATTAAAATGCATCTGTCATCTATGTGTCTCTCTTCATGGTCCTAGAATTAGCATACTATTGTTTCCCAGTTATTTTTCTTTAAATATCATGACTTACTTGAAGGAGAATTATTTTCTTTTGTATGTTTGTTTCAGATGTAAACAATTCCCAGACTCAAAAGTCTATCCTCAACTGTGAAGATATTGGTTGCTAAGAGAGTCTATCAATTTGGTGTTCTCTAGAAAAATATAGATGATAGATGAGTGGATAGATGGATGGATGGGTGGGTGGGTGGGTAGGTGGATAGGTGGGTGGGTAGTTGTGAGAGGGAGTGTGGGTGGGTGTGGATGTGTGTGGGCAGGATGGGTGAGTGGATGACAGTAGAGAAAGAGAAAAAAATAAAGAAAGAAATACAGAGATTCTGGGGATTGGTTCTGGTGCTTAGTGAGACTGGGAAGTCCTATCATCTGCCACTTGTGGCTGTAAATCCAGAAGTGTTCAGACACTGAGAACCATGGAACTGATGGTAGAAACCTCAGTATGAAAGCCAGAGAGGATGAATACTCTTCCTCATCAAGGATAAAGAAGGGAAAAAGATAGACTCTTCATTTCCTATTTGATCTGTTCAGGTCCTCAGTGGACTGGATGATGCCCAGCCACAGTGGAAAGAACTTGTGTACAATAACACAAATTTTAGATAACAATTTCCCCTGGAAACATCCTCACAGATGCATCTGGAAAGATTCAATCTGGTCACCCAGTGGCTCAACCAAGTTGGCACATAAAATGAAATTGATCAACACAGGAAGATTTAGAGACCAGAACACCCCCCAAATATTTCTTAAGAACATAAAAATATGGTCCTCCATTTCAAACCAGCCATATCATATCAGTCCAATATATCTGACATTCTGCTGGGTTCCGCTGGGTCACATAAAGCTAAGTCCATAGACTTTCATTTATGGTATCTTGACAAAATCTGCCTTTTTAATCTCTTCTTCATTGACTCTCAACCCACAAATCCACTTCCATGAACTTTCTCCATGAATATCTTTTCATGCCTCCTTTGCTGTTCAGTAAGTTGTGTGGAAATTTGCCCACTACCCTGCCTGTACTTCAAAGTGCCATTTGTTTTTCTCCTTTTTATTTATTCTTTGTGTCTTTCACATCATGCATCTCCATTCTATTCATTTCCTCATCCCTTTATACCCACCTTTGCCCTTGCAACCTTTACCCCCAAAATAACATAAAATAAAATTGAAGAGAAAAAGAGAGAAGGAAAAAAATCAATTGTAGTTGGCAGTTCCTTTCTTGCCCGCCAGTTCCCAAATAACCAACACAAAGGCTTAATATTACTTATAAATGCCATCACTCGCTCAGGCTTGTTACTAGCTAGTTGATACAGCTTACCTCATTTCTATTAATCTATGTGCTGCCCCAAGGCTCATGGCTTTACCTCTATACCATTTTGTATGCCCAACTCATTTTCTGGCTGGCTGGTGACTCCTCTGACTCTGCCCTTCCTCATCCCAGCATCCTCATTTTGATTGTCCTGCCTAACTTTATCCTGCTTTGTTATAGGCCAATCAGCTTCTTTATTAACCAATGAGAGTAATACATATTCACAGTGTACAGAAG